GGCCACCGTGGTCGGCGCAGTGGTGGCGTGAGATGTATGACTCGCAACTTGCAGCAACGCCTGCGCCGCCGCGGCTGCCGCTATCCTCTGCATCTCTTCTCGGGTCACCGTCACCATTTGTTGGCCCGGGGTTTGTACGGCTACCTGTGGTGGCACTCCTCCCTGTGCCCGCACTCCTCCTTGCCATTGTGTTGGATTTGGTGGTGGTGGTGGTGGCATCGCTGCTGCCGCTGCTACACGAGCCTCTTGGGCCTGACTGGAGCTGGCATCTCCGCCGGGAATCACCGTCGTCGCTCCTACACCTTAGAAATTAGGTGTGGGAGTGACCGGAGTCTGCGATGGGCCAGAGAAACCCGGAGGAGGGCCGTGCCCCAATGGCCTGGTCGTCGTCCAAGCTTCGTCGAACGTCGACTGCAAGTTTTTAGGAATTCCGTCCGCCATAGCTGAGCTTCAGACACAACTTTTTGAACAAAGAATCCCCACAGACGGCGTCAATAATTCAAGTGTAAGCGTCTGGGTCCGGTTTGGAGTAGATCGGTTCTTGTCCTCGCCGGTAAAACGCCGGAAACCTGCAAATAACTCTCACACCGGGGGTTGGGTCCGGTGAAGAGCCTCCGATGCTTAAGTTAGTATCTGTATGAGTATGCTGGATTTTAGAGAATGAACAGAGAGTGTGTTTGGGAAGAAAGGCTCACCCCCTTTATTAGGGGTGAGATACCTGCCCTAAGAGCTGCCCGGATGAGGTGAGCTGGCTGCCCAAGCTGCCCGTCCGTACTCTGACACGCCGCCCACATGTCAGAGGTGGCGCAAGGCGTTGGGGAGTTGTCAGAGGTAGTTATCACCATCACCCAATACATTGTTGACACGTGTTTCCCCAGCACATGTGGTAAATATTCTCTGGAGATTTCGGTCAGAGGCTCCCACGCGCGCCTATGGTACACGCGCCCATAACTAGGTCGATTACGAATTCCTCGAAGCGATCATCTCACTGGGATCGACTGGCTTGCTCGATCATTATCATGGTCGAGCGATGGATTTCTCGATCATGAGTCTGGTCGAGCGATGGATTGCTCGATCATTAGTCTGGTCGAGCGATGGATTGCTCGGTCATTATTCTGGTCGAGCGATGGATTTCTCGGTCATTAGTCTGGTCGTTTCCCTGAATGTTCGATCTTCCCGCCTTTTGGCTCGGCACCCTCTTGATTTGACCTTCTCGAACGGCCCAGAAGACCGGTTTAGCTTTATGTATATAATATACCATATCAGGTTTGGTTCCGTTCGGTTTTTGATTTTCGGTAAAAAAATGCCAGCCCTAGTCATGATCATGATGTGAATCCATTTTAGTGAATCCATT